GGTCAGTCCGTTGTGGAGTCCTGTTGTCTGGGCCAACACAGATTAACATTGAACAAGTGACACAGAAAGATAATTAGTCCATAACAATGAAAACAATCCACAAAGTGTCAGACTGAAGATTAGATTGAATAAAAACTCACCATCTGTGACAGAAACAGTAAAGTCTCTGTATGAACCTCTCTGATTGGTTGAATCCAGAGCACATCTGTATGGTCCAGAGTCAGACGTGATCAGCTGATTGATGGTCACAAACACAAAACTTCCTCCATTTGTGACCTTATAGTCAATCCTGTATCGACCATTTTCAGCTCTGACTCTGTCTGTCTGAAGAAGAATCTCATCATCACATCTTCCTCCGCAGAAAAATTGTCTTCTTCCAGAGAAACTGAATGAACATCCGAGGGTCAGCGAGCTGCCAGATGTTTTCTTGAAGTGATGAACTTTATCTTCTTTCAGCAGAGCTGTTAAAATAAACCAATCATCTGTTACTTCCTGTTGGACTCAGTTCATCATCAATAATCTTCATCAGTCAGAAACTCATCAGTTTATCAGACTCTGAAAGGTTTTATTCTTAAAGGCCTGACATTTTCTCTCATCCATCAGATAAATCCCTGAAAGATGAGGCTGAAGTTCATGTTTCATTTTAATTATCTATTTTTTCTGCTGTTTGAAGTAAAAATCGATTATTTCAAGCTTCTACAGAAAGGTGTGGAAGAAAACACTGTTAAAGAGNGTGAAAACTAACCAAAAGAGGAAGAGAAACTTAAATTTTTTAAAATAAAATAAAAAGGAAAAAAACCAGGTAAAAAAGTTTTGTTTTTAATTCTGGGTTGGGTTTGTTGCAGAACTTTTCCTCCTTAAAACTGAATAAAGTTTGTGACAAAATGATACCCTCCTTTTTTTTTTTTACTGATTTATACGAACAAGATTCTGGRATCTTATCAACAAAGCTGCTGAAATGAACTGAGCTCAGATAAAACTGCCTGATTTGGCTGCAGTAAATTATCTGCATGTTTCCACAGAAACATAAAGCCAGAAAGGTTCTGCAGAAACGCTGAACGGTGCAGCTTTCTCTGCAGCCCGACAGGAAGTCAGGACATCTTTTGATCTAATCTGACAAAAATGCAGAAGAGGAAGAAAACAGAACAGACTTCCAATGAAGCGTATCTGCTGGCATCATCGATGATGTCACTTCCTCATTAATAACAGATGTGAGGAGGACAGTTTTTCTTTTTAACTTCAGGATGTTTCTAAAAAGCTGAACTCACCTCAGCAGCAGGAGGATAATCTGTCTGCGCCACAGCTGAAAAACAGATTATATTTCAGATTAGCTGATTAAAGATAAACTGACTCAAAGTTTCAGGAATCCCATGAGAAGTTGTCACTTCAAAGCAAAGTTTCAGTTTTCTTTAGTTTCAAATCAAATAAAGAGAAAACTGCAGATAAACAGACATTTTTAACGTTTTATATTTTGTTTGAAAACTGTTTTTATTAAAATGAGTTTGAGTTTCTTCACCTGTTGGATGTTTTGCAGATTTTCTCCTGCAGAACATCAGCAGAGCCACAGTGAGGAGGAGGACGATGAAGGTCAGAGTCAGAGCAACAATCAGCAGCAGGTAAAAGGCTGAAGGACAAGAACAGGTTTCAGAGGATCCAACACCCAAAACCCACCCAGAACCAGAACCAGAACCCAGTTTCTGCTGAGGTTAGACCTGACTTTTGTTTTAATGGAAGACCACCACAACAAGAAGTATTATCATGGGTTCTGTGAATAATAAATCTTTCTTTGATCACCCACAGGGGCCAGCTGTTCCTCCAGATGTTCCTGTGTTCTTATCAGAGCTCTCAGAGGAACTTGCTGAACTCTGTGTGGTCGTTGTTGATGAGACTGATGGAAGAAAAACAGTTACAGTAAACAGCTGCTTCAGTCTTTCTGTCATTAATCAAATAAACTTTTTCATGTTTTACTTTATTTCATAAAAAAATAACATCCTCATCACTTCCTGTTTTTAAATCTCTATTAAAAACACACATGTTCTCTCAGATGAATAATTGTNGTGTCACATCCTGGCTGAAGGTTTTGTTGTTTGTTGAGTTTAGTGCTTTAGCTTAGTTTCTTTAGAGCTGGACTTGACTGAGGACAGAGCAGGAAGAAGTTATTGCTTGAAACAAACAAGTAAGTAAGTGAGTMAAATTATATTTATAGAGCACTTGTCATAGAAATGACTTCACARRGTGCTGTWCAACACACAAAATACAACAACGCAACAATAAACAATAAGCACCACAGAGCCATCAAATATCCCCATCGCAAAAATGTATCAGTAACAACAGTGAGCCAAGAAGAAATAAAAATAAAAGAGGCAAAAAAATACCAACCCAAAAACAAACAATTACTAAAAAAATGTAAATAGTACTTAGACCAAGGCAAGCCTAGCTACCATGCAGGCACTGGGTTCAACTACTTTTAACAAGAAACATCTAACTGAAAGCTTGTTTAAAATATAAGGTTTTTAAACCCTTCTTGAATAGTTCAACATCATMGATGGAACGTAACGCGAAGGGGAGGGCATTCCAGAGGCTAGGGGCTGTAAACGAAAAAGACCGGTTGCCACAGGTCCTATAGCGTGTTCGAGGAACAGATAGTAGATTTTGATCCTGAGAGCGTAGGCAGCAGACTGGATCGTGTGTAGAGAGCATGTCCCTAACATCGGCAGGTGCCTGGCCTCTTAAACCGAATCCTAAAATAAACAGGTAGTCAATGGAGTTCTGATAGGATTGGAGTGACGTGTGTATGAGTTTTGGGTATATTCTAAAATAGGTAATTTGTGACTCACAAATTAGCTTACCTCGAGGCACCACGCTCTTAATTCGATCAAGGATTGACCCAGGAAAGAAACGAAAAACTGAAACTTAATTGTGATAATTGTACCCAAAATGATTTTATGAGTTCTTGTCTTATCAGAACCAATAATATCTTTTATCAAGACACAAAATGAGATTAGCTTATGTTGGCACGTTCTCCACGAGCCATTTATTTACAGATTAAATGTATTTACAACTATGGTGAGTAATGAATGAATGATGACATGTTGAACCAGATAACAACTGAAAGAGTTTGCTATCACGAGTGAATAAACAGACAGACAAATGAACAAACAAACAGATAAACATAAAGTAAACACTGAGAAGTGAGTTTTGCTTTTAGAGTGAGGTGAGGTAAGTTGCTTTTAGCTGTGGATTTAACTAAGGAGTCCTAGTTAAATTAGGTCAAGAAAAGCGTTTAGTTTACCAAATCTCATACAAAGACAAAAATCTAATTTACRTCTGAGCACCTGTGTGTGTCACCAGGACAAATGTTCACCTTTACCCTTTTTGTTCTGCCTTGTGGGTACCAGGAGGGAAGTCAGCGATGGAAAGTCATCTCTGGGGTTCGTTCTCCAGACAGGCTCTCCATACAAGCTGGATGTCAGGCGGTCTGCCTGATAAACTCGACTGGTCCCTTGGTCAGAGAAGGGGGTCGCTCTCTGGTGACTCGTGATCTGGTCCTCCAGGTGGCTGCAAGACTTCTTAATTTGATTTCCACTTGTAGAGAAAACGAGCTAAAACGACGCATGAATTACCATTGGCTTATTTGACTCCTATAAAATCAAACTCAGAGACTGAACCGATATGGAACGAGCTGTTCGATCAACAGTGGGAGATGCAGACTGGTACCCCCCTGTTCAGCCATGGGGAAGGCTGGCAGGGAGGACCCCTGCTGAGCTGTGAAAGCTGTTTCTGGCTTGATGTTAAAAAGATCTCTTCATTCATTCACTGTCTCAAAAACCTCTTGACAACTACTGCTTGGGAGCTGCACTGACTTTTTAAAACCTCTGTTATGGGCGGAGTCAAGGTTTTAAATTGGCCAATGAAAAATTTTACACCTTATATACGAAAAGTTTTTAACAAATCAAATGTTTTGGAGGGAAAACTTTRCTTCAAGACAAAGAAAAGGGAGTGTTTTAGTTTAGTTWTCTTGCATCTAATTAAAGGRTGAGACATCTGTTTACCTCAGTAAAATAAGAATGTCACATTTAGTTAAAATTCAAGGCCTAAGGTTTTCTAAGGGTTAAATCATGTAATAAAACACAGTTTAAAATCATGAAATAAAAGAAACATCTTCTTCTTTAGGAAAACACTTCATCAAAATAAACACAGTTAGCTTCAATGGGTTTTGTTCTTTCTGTAAAAGAAAAGGTAAATTCACATTTCTTTGATTTAAAAACATTCAATCTGGTTCCTTCTTTTTTCCACATTTCATGAAGAATGTGGATCCTTTGTTTCAGTCACTGGAGTCTTGTTAAAGGYGTTTATGGCCCTTCCCCCTCTCCTTTGAAGAAAACAGGTAGGCAGTCCTGATGGGGGGGTTGGAAGCACAAGAACTTGTCAGAATGTAAATTCTTTCAGTTTGTCTGCGGAGGCGTCATGAAGTCTGTTGAGTTTGTGTAAGATATGTTAATTCGAGGCACAAAGGAAGGTTCCGTGCAAAATCCTTAAAAAAAGTCTGAAGTTGGTGGGACTTTTATTTCTTCCTTTAAGCAGTCATAGAACCAGTTATAGCTAATCAGAAATTATTAATTATATGCGGGAAAACTGCTACATATGACTAGATTTATATGTTGGAGTTAAAAGTCTGGCTGCAGAATTCTGAACAAGTTGAAGACGACTGAGCTGCTTTTGGTTCAAGCTCATAAACAGGCTGTTAAAAAWAATCCAGGCAGCTTGAAATGAAAKCATGTTTGACCATTTCCAGATCTGAGGCAGACTTCACTGAAGGTTAGAAATGTTACGTGGCTGAAGAAGCATAAACACTAAATGTTTTACATATTTTTCCAGGGACAGGTCCGAGTCAAATATAATCCAGATTATGAAGACTCTGATGGACGGCTGGACACAGAGAGCCCAACCACTCCTTAACTTTAGGGATCCTCTTTTCAGGGGCCAGAATTAGAACAAACAAACAAGCAAACAAGCAAACAAACAAACAAACAAACAAACAAACAAACAAACAAACAAACAAACAAACAAACAAACAAGCTGGAATTTCTTCCCTAAAACAAGTGGGAGAAGGTGAGAGATGAGACTAAAAGTGAAGTTTTCCTCCATCATGTCAGGTTTCATCCCCTCTGGTAATGCTGGGATCACCATCCTCATCCTCACTCTGAAGCATGGTGGTGGCAGCATCATGATGTGAGGAGTTCTTATTAAAAATAAACACGAAGACAAGAAACTGGAGAAAACAACCGTTAATAAAATATATAAAATAAATAAAACTGATGACAGAAAAGATAAAAAACAGAATTTACAGGTGAAAAAGACTAAAACTAGATACAGAGGTGAAAGATTCAGCAGAGAATAAAAAGCTGAGCAGTGATTATGAGTGAGTGCAGCTGGACCTGAGTGACAGGTGAAGACTTTACATTAAAAATAAACTCAATCTACAAAATAACACACAAAAAGGTCATGACTTTTATCCTCTTTAACAAATTGTTTTAGCAAATACTGAATAAAATAACAAAATAAATGTAAAATWAAAGAAAACACCACTACAAACAACCACAGCATCAGACGTCAACAGAATCTTCATTAACAGTTAACATCAGCTTAAATCAAGTTACAATAACTTTAAGTTACAAAACTGAAGRAAACCAGAGGAGTAAAACTAAACAAAAAGCAGAACATTTGTGGTCATTTTACTAAAAACGGAGCTGTAGCTTCCTTATTTAGTAAAAATGTTTACACAAATCCATTATTTTTTCTTTGGCCTGAGAGAACAAACAAACATCGAGCAGCAGAGCTAAAGATACGTAACATTATTAGCACCAAAGCTAAGTAGCATTAGCACTAAAACTAAGTAATTTTAGCAGGGCTACAACCAAGTAGCATTGGTAGCTCTAAAGCTTAAGTACCTCCAATAGTAACAAAGCTAAGTAGTAATGAAGCTAAGTGGCTCTATTAGCACTAAAAGCTATAGTATAAGTAGTAATGAAAATAAGTAGCATTAACATCACCAAAGCTAAGTAGCATTAGGTGGGCCAGGTCCTTGGTAGACCACGAAGACCGGAAAAAGTCTCTGTATTTGTACGGTCTGGCCTCCCACCCTTACCCTGCATACGTCCTGTGGTCTAGCAACCATGATGGTGCTAAACAGAAGCAAAAATAGATCAAAGTATCAATATATTGGTTTTATTAATATCACAAAACAATAAAATTAGCTTAAAGACAATATTTGAAGAAGTAATGCTGCCCCCGTTTATTTCTCTACACCAGCTCGTTTGATTTCTGACAAGAATAATATTAAAACATGTTGATAAAATACAGATGATAAAAGCATTAACACTGCAACTGCTTGAAGCTTTCAATTTTCATTTGGCCAGAGTTTTATTTAAAACTGTTCTTTCTCTCGCTTC